ATATTTGCGGTCTCTTTGCGGTCTTCCGCAGAAAATATTCTTTCATAAGGCTAACTTAAAATGTACCAAAAAAAATTCGAAAAATAATAGAATTTCTTACAAGCGTAAACAACTCACTTGCAAATTCTCACAACTCATGTAAGTAAGTTTCAAAAATTTTCAGACTACCCCCTCCCCTCCATTGGGCCACTGGTTTATTGTACGGTATCAGTACCACAGAATAGACAACTGTACTGCCCAGGGGTTAATGGTATGCCACGAAAAGAATGTCAGTTTCATACAGTTGAAATTTCTTGAAACGTGAAATAACGCAAAATTTCAAAGTTGCTTAAAAATTTGTTAGGGGGTTTTTTCCAGTTTACTGATCACAAATGTAATTCCAGTAGCTCTCCAATCTCATAATCCTTGCTGGAAAGTTCTATCGAAACAATATCCCGGATTCTTAGATGAAGTTCTGACATAATAGAGCTGTATCTTAGCTGAAAGAGTAGTATGAATAATAGTAAGAAAATATTTGCAAAAATATAGGGAATCGTTACAAACTGAGCGAAGCTACGTGGACGCCATGATCTTTCTCCTTCAGCGAAAGCAAAATTCTGTAGATTATCTACCAAAATCAGCTATACCAGAAACTAGAGATTGTCGTAATGACACAAACATGCCAGCTCAGACGCTGGAAGCGGACAAGCTGTGACCCTCAATTATTAGCGATTTACAAATTGTGGGTTGACAGGGAAAGGAAAATTATAGTGAACTTATGATCCGGGGTCAGCCACCCTATGGAGGATCGCGGTTCGAGTGTATCTTAGTGCAATCACACCCAAAGGCCGCGGATGCGCTGCACCATAGCGGATGAGCAGAGTTGGCATATTCACTGCATGATTTTCCGTGGCTCAGGCGTTTTCAGAGCCTGAGATATGAAGAATCTGTGAGTTTATGGCACGTAATTTTCTAGCTGCTTCGGCTGCAATGTTGAGATTAGAATGGACCCTACTTCAACATAAGATACCTTGAGAAGCTACCTCAAGGTATATTTTCGTATTCATCAAAATTTATCTCTTAAGGTTAAAATAACCTGTGCCAGCATGATAAACACTGACGTTTTCTCAGAGAAGAGCATGGCGTACTTGCGGTGAATTGCTTTTTTTCATATCTGCATAGGATTTACGCGAGGACACTTATGTCTTTTAGAGTGTGAAAGGCTACGGTTGGTGAATTGGAGAGCATAGGATCCACATATTCAACAATATTATCCGGGAAAATATTTGCTACTAAGTACAATTTACAAAATTATCTGCTGCGATACCTACTTCATGCCTACTTCAATTGAATTTAAGCTGAGCAACTGAACAAGACTAAAGAAATGCGTTACACGAACGTCAACACTGGCTTTTCTTGAATACAGAGCTTGCAAAGCGATTGCTTTTAGGTCATACATTTTTTAGCTTGTGGTTTCAGTGTGCTATACTCAAAATACTGTTTGATAGGAGCTGGAGCAAATAAAGGACGTGTTTGACTTTCTTTGGTTCGATACATCAGTTTCACAGGAATTTTACAACACTCACAATACACCCACCCAGATAATCGCCGGGGGCAGGCGGCTACGCGAATTTTGAGCAAGCGCGCACCAGAAAGATATTTTGCCGATTTCTTGCGGTCCGCTTGCAGAAATTTGGAATAATTTCAGCGAAATCTTAGACGAATGCTTGGAGAACAATCGCGGTTTCCTTACAGATTAGCTGCGGCGCAGTGGCCGCATTCTCACGGACTTTCCGCGTGAATATGCAAAATTTTCGGGGCCGCACGGTCCTTTGTGGAGGACCGCGCACCCCAGGTACTTTCCGGCGGGAGAAAGTACCTCAAACTTGAGTAATTAAACCAACGGTGACACCTCTGCCACACGGAGTCTTACCTGTGCTCGACGTACGCCCGAAAATGCGTAGAACAAGTCCGAGCGCTTGCTGAAAGTTTGGCTAGCGCTCGTTGAAAGAAATTATTTGCCGAGCGCTTGTAAAAAATGCTGTATTGCTGCCCGCTGGCAGAATATGCGACCGTAAAGGAAATGCCGCCCGCTGAAGGTTTGGCCACGCCCCAAAGTTCTGCTGACCGCCTGCAGAAAAGCGCGAGTTTGCGGACCGCCTGCCCCCGGCGATTATCTGAGCATAGGATTGAAGAGAAATGTAGTACTAATTTCTTTACACGTCTATAACTCTAGCTAACCTCAACAAAATTAAACTGCTGCAATGGGTTCAGTTTTGCCACTTCAGTGTTCGTGTGAAAAACCACCCTCTAAAACCTTGTAGATCTCTGAAAGTATCACTCCTTCCTTGCCTTTTGCTAGGGTAAAAGTTTCTATTTTGAATGTACCTTAAGGTAAAGGCATCAAGTTTGATGAATACGGATTTATTGCTGATAAGGCTACCTTGAGGTAGAATTCACCTCAAGGTATTATCCATTCCACATGAAATCATTTTCAAGGTTGATCCAACCTTGAGCATTTACCTCAAGGTACATTGATGAATACGGGTTTTGAGTGATAATCCTACCTCAAAGTTCATTTTACCTCAAGGCAGCAATGATGAATACGGCCACAGGATAACATTAGAATTATTTAATTTCTCACAGTCAACTGTCCAGATTTTGTTTGATCTAACGTAAATTTCCCTTACTTCTTCAAAACCTTCGCTAGTTCGCATGTTGACTTGTTTAATTGATTCCTATTCGATCGTTCGCTTACTCTGTAAGAAAGCTGTTCATTCTTGATCGTGCATACATTCTGCATGGTGAAAATTGTACCTTCTCACTCATGGGAGGTAACTTCGGCTTTCCATTGATGAGCCGTTCCGTTACTAAAGAATGTTAATAATTGATGCGCGGCATGCAGTTCTTACTGTCTACAATTTGTGGGCTCAAATTCCTGTCCCCACAGAATCTTTGAAGAAATTATTTTGTACGCACTACTGGATAAGTATAGTCGATTTGTTGACCGCACGGACTGGGCATCAGGAGCACGTGCCGCGAATTAAAACGCTTGCTGCAGTACAAATTCGCCATTGTACAAGTGTGCTCTTGCAACTTTTCAACCGCGCCGCGCGTGGTCCGCAGCGTTAGAGCAGTCGTGCGGTCAACGAATTGACGGAACATCCTTGGCGCTCTGATTAGTTTTATGCCCTTGGCGGCTACCGCAATACACAGTTATCACGGTTATCACTAGAATACCCAGTTAATCATGGGAGGTAACCATCTGGGTCAATCGCTATGGTGATCTAGCCCTGCGAATCCAAGTCATTTAAAACTGCGAGGGAGATTTTGACTACGCTTTTCAGGAGTTCTACAAAGACTTTTTGTACGACTGGATTGAAGCGCTGCAACAGCTCAACGATTTGACTGTCACTGAATCTCAGCCTCGCTTAGTGTGGTCTTTCGCAATCTTTATGAGATCCATCATTGTTTTTATTGGCTGTGCATCATTAATGCTGCTTTCTTACAGTAAGTTTTTTTGACGTCCCATAACTAAAAATGTGACCTTTGACAATATCAAAAATCTTGAGTCAAGACTTTGAAGTCATTGATAAACTATCGCGGTTGTTGTCTAGGCAGCTCAAATTGGCCACAACCGCTTATAAATCGTCAAAAAGTCACAGATCTCCACCGAAACCCACCGCGGTCTTGGTTGAGTGAAAAACTTCGAATCCAACGGCATCGTAACTCTAATTCGGAGAGGGTCATCCTTTAACATAAATTCCTGTACAGTTACGATAGTTGTAGGGAACAGTATTTCACAAGCTTACAGTAATTTACTCAGGTGCTTATTCATTACACGCTTAGTTCACTACCGTAGGCAAAACTCCAAAAGAACTCGTAGACTTTGAATGCCTACTATATTCAGACGAACAGAAAATGTGTCTCGCCGAGCTGAGTTGAACGGGGCTCTTGGTTTCAGAATTCATCCATTGTAAAAAAAGATATGGCGGTAGGACGCGGATTTCGGTGAACTTCGGTGAAGTTAGGTACTTTTGCGACGAGTTATGAGCGGTCAAGGATAGCATACCTTTTATTGCGTGAACATTGGGTCAATCAATGCATACGAGCATTTTGCTAACGTTGTGCGAAGACTCTCACCAGAGGAAAATTGCCAATACATTAGCTTATAGGGCACTTTTCCGTTATCCGGACCCATTTTTTCAAGAGGCTCTCAGATTATACGTTCTTTAGTTTAAGAACAATTTTTCATAGAATCTACGATGACTGCCTGCTTGCCATGTGTCACGAAAAAATTAACACGTTTTGGTTTGTTTTGACATGTTTTTCTCGAAATTATTTCTTGCTCATCTCATCTTAATCATCTTGCTTGCTTTCAGCAGTGATTCAAAAATGTATTTCTTTTCAAATCCTTTCGCCATGCGTATTTAGCCAGAAAAGATTATAAATGATAACTTGAACTGCCCTGCTGCTGCTTATTTCGCCTCTTAACTGACGGAATCCTATCGCACTTCTCTATTCTGAGCAAGTCTAAATTGTCATCGATGATAGTATGTCGTTAATATTATGACGATGTTGACTCGAAGCTGTTTGATCGAAATGAGGTCAAAATTACTAAATAATAAACTTACATTGCAAGTAGGGTAACACAAACTCTTGGTGAAACCTGTTAAACATGCAGATGACATGTTAATTTTTTTTTGACACGTGGCAGAAGGTTGACGCTCCTTTCTGTGAAGCTGGGACAAAATATGGTACAAGGACAGGAGCAATATCTTTCTTTGAAAGAATGGGTCCGGATAACGGAAAAGTACCTTTAGTACATTTTACTAACGTTGTGCGAAGACTCTCACCAGAGGAAAATTGTCATTACATTAGCTTATAGTTTTCTTTACATTATGTCCAATCTTTAAAGACCGTATAAAAGCAAAGTCAGATGGGAACTTTCATAAAAGGCTTGAGCATGCAATTGTTCAGAAGTTGTGTATCCTTGCTATCCAAAAATTTCACCTCGGCCGATGACCGCTAGAGAACTCTTCTTCGATTTGCAACCATCGCACATGTATCAGAAAATGTCGGCAGATAAAACCACGCCGGTCAGTTATTTTCTTCGTCAACTACTATTGTACAAGGTAGACTGGAACACCACGAGTATGATTCAGCAGATTAACTTGCGAGATGAACAGCCCTTCTTGTGCAGCATTGGATCAGTTTAGATAGCTATAGCCAAAATCGTGGCAGACCACTGTAATCGGTAAATGTGGTGAATCAGCCTTACTAGTCATCTTATTTTCGAATAATCTTCTTTGAAAAGTTTAAGTGACAAATCGAAAGAGCTAATGAAATATAGTGACTTGGATTATTCATAATTTATGCTATATTAAAGCATAGTGAATTTGAAAAATAATAAATGACATCTGGCTTCCTCTCCCAAAGCTGCAAAACGCGTCAAAGTAATTCTTTCTGTAAGTCTGAGTATCGTGAAGCATTTTATCTTGTATATTGTAATCTACTACATGAATAATAATCCGTAGATCCTAAGTCACCTCTGTACATGATGCTTTGCAAAAAGTTGTTGATTTTACGAAATAAATTCCAAAATGAATCTGGGTATTTCAAAGCAATAGAGACGACGTTTGGTTACGATGATAAGAATTAGAGAAAATTGGATTTTTTCACTCACCACTTCGTAACTTCCTTCCCCCTTGCGAGTTCTCCGAACCACCGTAGGATCTGTACCCATAGGCAGAAGAACCTATCTAAGCCATCCATGTATACATTCTTTTTGAGTTTTGTGTGAAACTACTTCGATTTTTGCTTTGGGAGTGTTTTTGCGTAGCTCATCCATTACAGAACGCCCGCTTCGCTAACGACAGCCTAGGCTCTCTCGCTTACCCAATCGCAGCGGCAGCGCCGACCATTCGGAGGGCGCAATACGTGGGCTGTTTAGGCTAGCTGTGCAGAAGGACTCCCCCCCCCCCCCCCCCAAGGGGTCCGCAAAGCACAATACAGGGTGTCCGTAAAGTATGTATACACTGTTTGATCGTTAATATCTCTTCTCCCAAGAAGCCTTTTGCCTTGCTTCAGGAACCATTTGGTAGAGCTGGCTTCAACTTAGATTTGCAATATGGAGCGAATCACCCAACTCTCTTCATTACTGTAGGATTACGGTGGAAACTTCAAAGAGGGTCTTGAGCTATGAAGGCCATATTTTGCCTCAGAAAGGAAACGAAGCAGCCTGAAAACTTTTACACTAGGCTAATTAGAGAGTTGTTGATTCTAATTGTAAAGTTCCCAACTTATTATGATGCTTCATGGAAGAGTTATGCCAGGTAAGAGGTAGCGGCCATTTTTTCAATGCTTCTAGAAAGTGCGGTTACACCGTTTAGAAAGCTTCGCAATCTTGTGAATATTGGAGTATTGAACTCAGCTCCATAAAAACCCTATTAGACAAGTTTTCACATTTTTTGAAGAATTTCTGAAACGGTAGCTTTTCTCACATTAACACTATATGTTTCAAGTTTCTACCGTAATCCTACAGTAATAAAGAGCATTCGGCGACTCGCTCCTTACTGCAAATCTAAGTTGAAGCCAGCTTCACAAAATGGTACCTGAAGCAAGGCAAAAGATTTCTTGGGAAAGGAGATATTAACGATCAAACAATGTATACATATACTTTACGGACACCCTGTATATTTCCGTCATTGTTTCGGCTTCTGGTAAAAAAACCTTTATTTTGAGTATTAGCAAGATTGGAAAGTTCACAACAAAAGTAAGCTGGCAGTAGTTATTTTTATAGTTAGTTTCTAGTCCCAGACAAAAAAGACTGCTTGTTTTCTTTTTCGCATTATTGATTGATTTTTTACTGTGTGTTAAAACTATTTCAGAAGGAAGCGGAGCCATCGAAGTCGGCAGGTGCAGGTGCCAAAAGCGAACCGAGTGCGCTACCAAGTGTCACTGGAGTGCCAGTGGATAGCTCGGAACCGAGCAGTGCAATTGTCGTAGAGAGCACACCTCTTCCGAAGTCGAGCAATATAAAGTCAGCTAAACTTGCGAAAGGACTTGAAGAAAATCCAACACAAAACGTGCCTTCCGTCGTGGAAGCTGCCGTTAAGACTGCAGAAGAGAAAAAGAACCCCCTTTTGAAAACAGCAGAAAAAACGCAGCCATCAAGTATGAAAACGCCAGTCTTGCCAGCCAAACAACAGTCAAAAGAGAAATCCGAAGATCGCAAGAAGATTATGGGTAGCGCAGTACAGAAACGTACATCAGGCGAACGTACGAAAAACTCGGCCGAAAAGGCGCCCCTCCTCCCCTCGAAAAGCCCACAAAAATAACGCACATTTGCGTGAATGCATTCGTTATATGCTTTGCTAACTTTCGCCTTCTGTGTTCAATGATCTGCTGAATATGCACATTTTAATAAACATTGAGCTTATACGATGGGTAAACCAAGTATTCCCTACAACTTCTTCGGAGAACGCTCCATGGTAATGTTAACTATTAATAACTGAATTCTTGCACACACATATATATTCTTTGGAGAACTAATAGGCTATAAATTTGTTTCTTCAATACTTTTTGACTGAACTCAATTGGGTAAAAACAGAAAAAACTTTGTTCTTCTAAAAGTCATAAATATAGAGTGCCTCAGAAGTTAGTACACATTCTTTCTTAGCTTCGAGTATCACCCAGTAGAGGCAGGCTTTAACTTAAATTTATGATTTGGAGCGAACTACTCATCGCTCTTCGTACTGTAGGATTACAGTAGGAACTTCCAGCATACAGCGCCAATGTGAGATAGGCCGCTTGGAAGAAATTCCAAAGAAATCTGCAAATTTGTATAGCAGTGTTTCAGACATGCTGATTTCCTTTAACAACTTACAAGTTTTTAAAGCGTAAATGGTTAAATAGCATTTTGGCCATGGCCTTTCGGTATGTGATATATGTCGTGAATTTAGCCTTGAAACGTGATCTAAAAACGGTATTCGTTGTTAGGGTTCGGCACGAGGTGGCTAGATGAAAATGCAAAAAACAAAGTTCCCCTTGACTTTTGCGGATCTTTGCGAAGTCCCCTTTGACCCCGACCATAATCTAAAAAAAATCTCCAAAAAACGAAACGTTGGCTAGAAAAAAACGTCGCATTTTGTGTCTTTTCGGCCACAAAAACGAAACCCTCTATGCTTTTTGTCCCAAAAACGATATCCAGCTGCTTGTAAGCCAGCTGTGCCGAGCCCTGTTCGTTATCTGCCGAACGAAATTTCGGAAAACCCGTATTTCCACTCATCTGACGTGCGCACAAGTGTACTAGTAATTTTGATAGGTGTTAGTGTCCAATGGTCTAGTGGCTAGCACTGTCGATCATTGCATAGCGAATGCCAGTTTGATCTCTGGAATATTTTCGCTTCACCTTTCCAAACCCTATTTTATTCTCAGAAAGCCGTTCCGCAGATAATGAACTTCAAAATCAGCGTTTCAAGACGAGCATTTTGATGTATAACAAATTTCAAAAGGCCATGGTCACTAGTTAATCTTTCCTTGCAAGACTCGAATGGAAGTTGAAGCCAAACAAAAGATTTTTTTGGAAAAGAGTTAACTTATCGAAAAATTTACTTGCTCTGGGACACCCTGTATATCACGCGTTGCATTCTCAAAACCAAACGTTACCAATACTAGCGACCCTACGGGTCGCTAGCTAGTGGGTAGGGGCAGATACAATATAAGGGCTTAGTTGTGACTATAAATATTTCTAAATAAGTTTCCTATGCCTTTGCTGAGAACATCTTCGCGAAGCATTCTACTGAAGGAGAACTGTTCGAAGAAGCAATAATCTCCACAAATCATTCAGCATTTCTCGAAATTCCTGCTGCAACCATGCATGGGTATTATTTTTCTCTCGTTTACCACGCTTTTTCTGCAAATTTCCCCTCCTCACAGAGACATTCAGATAACCCCCCCCCCCCATCTTTTCTACCCTCTTAAAGAGAATTTGCTCTTCCAGTTCTTCTCAACAATTTCCATAGAAGATCGTCAAGGAAGTAGAAGAACACCTATCGTTTTGGAAGTAGAAATACACCCACAACAATTATGTACTACAAAAAACACTTTTCTCTCAGAATCAACTCCGACAGCAACGAAACCAATCGTCTAAGAACTTTGTCGGAAATTTTTCAATATTTTCGCCAAAGGAATATGAAGCTTTACTACATAAGTAGACCCCTCCCCGAAAAGCACACTACTGAGCCACGTCAATCATAAGAACTGCATAAACGTACAAAAAATTTGTTTCCCTGTCCAATTAAATTGCCCTAAGTGCCGCTTGAAGACCGTGTAAAAATTATAAGAACTGTCCCAAACGTACAAAAATCTGTTCCCCTGCCCGATCAAGTTGCCCTACGTGCCGCTTGAAGACCGTTTAACACATTGACGACAATACGACCCACTGGTGGGTCGTAAGATTCATGAAGCGCTATCTTTGCCAGTTTACGACGGAATTCTACGGGATTCTGCCACATGATCGGGGGCACTTAGGTGAAGCTCCAGCCAGAGTGGTCCGGGCTCGGGATCTGTAATGTAGTGTTACGGTTGGTATACGGTAGACATCTATAAGGCACAAGCTTTAGCGCAAATTCTTCGTAAAATGATGCTGTTTCTGGAGAATCAAGTTTACATCTGAGAGTAATACGGGGCGGGCAAGAGGCTGACGTTGATCCACCAAAAAATTATCGATTTTATTGATTTTATTGATTTTTTGCATTTTTCGTCCTAGGAAGCTCGAACTTTGCATATATAGGTTTTGTAGCATACTGATTACGAAAATGATAGTCTCAAGTTTTGATACCACCTTCTAACATCAGTTTCTTGATTTCTACGAAAATTCTACCGTACTGCTACCGTAATCTCACCGTGAGAATATAGTGAACAAATGGACACTATAATCGCGATCAGCACGTGAAATAACCCCAATACACAAATTTTCATAAAAATCCATGATGTTGGGTTCGTACAGAATAACTACCGTAGCCTTACCGTATAACGCCAAAAACTGAAATAAATCATATTTTGGTAATCAGCGCGTTCGATAACCCTTTTGGGGAAATTCTCGGAGACATGTTCTGAATTTCTTACAAAAAGACTACCATTTCGGACAATACAACCCACGGGTGGGTCGTAAGTTTGGCAGAGCAAAAAAGGCTCCTGTCCGAAATGGCAGTAATCGAAAAATCGGCCTTGTCGTTCCTACGTTTCGTTAGGTCCACATTTGGTCTTATAAGTCAAAGCGAACATTTGAAATACCCCGCTTGACTGTATTAGATTTGACATATGTGATTTGGGTTCCTTATATGAAAACTGAGGATGGCCCCAGTGCAGAGATAGGTGAACATCTCATTCCATATTCACTCATCGTCAGAAAAAACCGGCACCGCGGAGATGAATAATACTATTGCACTTCAAGCATAATCGCAGATCTGTCAATGAAATAGAGTCAAAACGTATGCGGCTACCGTATCTTACCGTACGATGTCATCCAAAATCAGATGCAACCCTCTTTTCGAATTATGATTAAGATCTTTCAAAGCCCCATTGCTTAATGTTGATGGGTCGTGTGCATTGTTGTGTAGCCACTAACGCTGACTAGTCTTCCATCTTGGCAAGCTGTCAAAAAACAGAAACCGTTTGCGTTTATGGAAAATTGTTATATTTGGTGACTTTAGTGAGTTTTAAATTTTCATATGAGGCTCTTCCGGCAGTGCAAATCGAAGGCGGTTAGAAGCGAGAATGTCTGTTACATCTTTATAAAGTCGACTGCACAAAATCGCTGTAGGCTGAACGCACACGAGCGTGCCTGTAACGCGGCTGCCGAGTTGGGCGCTATGATGACTCATGCGCGCGAATGCCAATGTTAGCCCACTGGAGACACGTCGCGGGCGTTCAGCCCGGGCGATTTCATGCAGTCAACTTTACACTCGTGAACGTTTTTTATTGAGATGATATCTGGGTATATATAACATGAGCATCAAGTTCTGCGGAGACTAAGCGTGTCTATGACAGCTTGTAATTTATACAACTGGAAATCAGAAGAAACTTGTGAGAAATTCCCAGCAAAATTTTTTATTTCAGTCCGAATTGATCGTTCTCGAAAAGGAACTACCTCATGTTCTAAGTACGATTTTGTTTGACTTCAAATTGAGATTGCTATGTTTAGATTATAAAAATTTAGCAAAATCTACAGATCACGCAACTCAAACAATTCTTGCTAGAGAGAATTCCAATTATTAGAGCTGTAAACGATAAATGATTCCTTAAATTTTGTCAAGAAAAGAAAGGAAATCATTGAAAGAATTTATCCTTGCAAAATTATAGGCCAACACTTGCATTACTTTATCGTTTTATAGTCAGCGATATCAGGTTAACAGGTAATGAGCTGAACATGGAGCCTCTTGAATTGTCTTCATAAAACCAGTTTTAGAAGTCCCTGAAACTATTCGAGACAGACAGCTGCGTCTTTGTCCCATTTTTCTGGGACTGAATCATTTTATTTTCATTCTGAGCAAGCAATTGATTGTGAGCTAGTTGCAATTTCTCTTGAATGATTTTTCTGCTGCACATGTCGCTACGTCAAAAGTGCTTTTACGCAATCTGCACTTATGTAAAGGTTACCATTATGGGTTTGCACTATTCAAAAAGATCGATGTATTCATTTAGTGAGCGCATGCTATACATAGCTCTGTAATATATTCATTTACGTGGTGTGGGAGCATAACCACAAGTACATACAGAAATTTCGTTCAGTAAAGTTTCAATAACCAGTCCGGCAACAATTTGAAAAACAAATGAATTTTCCCACTTACTTTGATGTAGAATGCTTGTGTATAGTCCAGTCTACATTTCCCAAATAAATTTTATCCCTATGCCCTACTCTGTAATACTTTTCCCTCTCCTCTGAGTTATTTCTGCTTTGAATGACAATGAGCAGGTGCTTTGATTGCGGAATTGTGTACACATCCATTTACCGTAGACAGTTGTATAAACACAATCGAGAAGAGTTGGTCCGAACTTTGTGAAAATTCGTCTCTATCATCTATACTCACTCCCATACCCGCCGAATAAGTCTTTTGATTTTGTGCATGATTAATTTCAATCAAGGGTAATCTCGTTAGTCTACTTGAGTCCAGAAATGTAAAAGATTCTCTTTAGGTCCCATTCATCCACCGTAGATTAATGTCTGCGGACCTCTTCGCAAGAAATTTTTTTTTGAAGAAGCAAAATGCCTACTATCAGTGATTGCCTTTAAGGTTTTGAAAAAAAGAAATGCCCGAGATCCATTCGAATTTCTCAAAATCCCCAAAATCAATTTTATTCGACCGTTTTATAAAAGATAGGACCGAATGGAGCCGAGCCTTTCGATTATAACCCAATATACAAAGTCCCAGAAAGATGTGCGCACTTCAGTTGATGACTTTCTTGCTTTATGTCTCTCGCCAAGTTTTAAATACCATTTTATGAAGCTGGCTTCAATCTAGTTTTCCATGGAAACGAGTTAGCGATCCCTCTATCATTACTGTAAGATTACGGTAGAAACTTCAAGAATGATTTCAGACGCTCGAAAGCCACATCCTGCTTCACAACGAAACCAAACAAGTCAAAATTTTATTACTTTAATCAAAGTCGTTCATTTCAATTATGAAATTTGCATTTCACGTGCTTCCCTCTTGACAACGAGTTAAGCCAGGCAACCGTGACAATTGGTTTGGCAGTGTCAGAAATGTGATCGCACCATGAAAAGAACTCACAGCATTCTCGAAAACCCTCTACGCAATCTTCCGGGTTTTTCAAAATTTGTTAGAGGCTTATTTCACAATGGATGGTTTCACACAGAGGGCCGTCGATGCTGTATTTTCCCACCCTTGAGGCGTAGGGAATACCCTGTACTTAGACATTTAGTTGACGAACTTGAAGAAATGTCCCGAGACAGGTCCGCGATCGCGTCGAGTGGTCCAAGCGAGGCGACTCGCGGAGACCCGAGCCACCGACCGTGACGCTCAGATTGAAATCTCCCGTATGTTGGTAGTTCCCCCGTAATCCTACAGTTACGAAGACTGGTCTTCGATTCGCCCTACACTGTAAAACTACCAGCAAGTTGCAATTTGAACCTTCAACGAATGGTATTTAACACATTGACGACTGCTTGACACACCATAAAATGACTACTACTCTGGAATAAGCACACTCCATCAGCTTTCTTTGGCATAGAATCTAGGGGTGACTTCTACCTCTTTTGTCAGCTAATCAGATCTACTGTGGGTGTACTGTAGATGGCAGTATAAGCAATTATAGTTGAAAAAGTGGGCTGGTCCGTAAAAAGGCTTTGGTCCCAAAAGGCAGACAATTAAAAAACTGTATGGTCGCCAATGTGTTAAAGATCGACAAAAGACATAGAAGCATGAGAGTAGTTAACGATCAAGCAGTGTGCACATTTTTTAAACACGCTCTAAATCTGCGTATCATGTGCAGTGTCATAGAAGCCCTGATTAACAATTTATGGAAAACAGTGCTAAAATTTTACGTACAGCTTTTCAATCAACTTTGCTTAGGAAAGAATGCAAAAAGAGTTTTCAAAAAGCGACTATTGTAATGGAACACTTTTCAAAAGACATTTTTTTACACCTGTTCTCATCCAATCCAGAAATTGTGCAATGATTACAGCCGTAGGATGGCGCGCATGGAGTGTAGTATATGCACCACTTGAAAGCACTTCTATTATTTTTGCATTCTTTTGTCTTGCCGAACTTGACTTATGACTTTTTTTGACGAAACGAGGTGTTTTCAACTGTAAGTCCTATGATCTACCTTTCCTAACTGAGTGTCGATCGAATGTCTCTATAAAGTGTTATAACTTCTGAGCAAGCAGTACAAATTAGCGTTCTTATTTTTTTTTTTTGGTATTCTTTCTGAAGATCATAACACTTCACAGAAGCGTTCAATTGCAAACTTCGAACAGTTAGAAATGGTAAATCGTAAGACTTATAAAGAAACTTGCTAGGAATTTTTTTTTGCAAAGTTCAGATTTTTGCGGCTTGCCTTAATATGAGTTTTCAAAATGTAGTGATTTTCTTCTCTTGCTTCTATCTTAGTTACATTTACTAAAAAACTAAAAAGGCGCTACTTTAAAACAAATGCTTTCTTCTGACTAACAAAATTAAGCATGTGCAAATTCGTTGAGATAAATGGCAGTTATGCTTTTTCTTTGGTGCGCTAGAACTTTTGCACTAAGTTTATAAATGACGTGAATGGAGCCCCATTCACGGATCCATCTCTTCATGCCGCATTCCCTGGACTCAGATAATCTGACCGTGCGGCCACTTAATGACCCACACAGCTGTGGGTGACGGGTTGCCCCGTGAGGCGGAGGCTCGGCGCGGAACCTCGGCGGCGACGGGGCTCCCCGGAGCGCGTCGACATCGATTGAGAGTCGTCGCCCACTCCGCTGCAGCCGGCCAAGCAACGACCGCCATCCACACTACGCTGCCAACCAACTCGATACTAACCGCTCTTGGCAGCTTCACCCACCCTCAGTTTCCTGGATTTATCGAAATTTCCCCTTCCCGTTGCAAAAAGTTGATTTTTCTTGTAAGTGCAGTTTTGGTCCATTCGCGTCTGAAATGAGGTGATTTCAACGCAGAATTGTTTACCTGAATGCGAGAGACGCGTCTACTCAGACCATCCATGATTTAAAAACCAGTGTGCAGTCGCACATAAAATCCCATAAAAAAATCTACTTTTTCTCCTTTTATAAATAACCTTATTTACATCTTGCACTGTATTTCATCTCACCTTGTAAGCTTTTCCGAAAACCTTTCCTGTGACGAGCATTTTTCGAAATATTTTTCCATTTTCTGCCTTCTCACGTCCTTGTTTTCCTCACTGTATAAACATAGACAGGGTGTCTGTAAAGTATGTGTACAATGTTTGATCGTTGATATCTTTCTTCCCAACAAGTATTTTGCCTTGCTTCAGGTACCGTTTGTAGAGCTGGCTTCAGTTTAGGTTCACAGTATGGAAATCGCCGAATGCTCTTCATTACTGTAGGATTACGGCAGGAACTCGAAACATATGGTGTCAATGTGGAAAAAGCTGCCGTCTCAAAATTTTTCAAAAAAAAATGTGAAAACTTGTGTAATAGGGTTTTTATGGACGCTGAGTGCAATGTTCAACTATTCACAAGATTGCGAAGCTTTCTAGACGGTGTAACCGCACTTTTTAGGAACATTGAAAAAATGGCCGCTACCTCTTACCCGGCATAACTCTTCAATGAAGCATCATAATAAGTTGGGAACTTTATAGTTAGAATCAACGACTCTAATTAGCCTAGTGCAAAAGCTTTCAGGCCGTTTCGTTCCCTTTCTGAGGCCAAATATAGCCTCATGGCTCAAAACCCTCTTTGAAGTTTCTACCGTAATCCTACAGTATTAAAGAGCATTCGGCGATTCGCTCCATACTGCAAATCTAAGTTGAAGCCAGCTCGACAAAACTGTACCTGAAACAAGGCAAAAGACTTGTTGTGAAGAAAGATATTAACGATCAAACAGTGTATACGTACTTTACGGACACCCTGCATAACAACATTCATTTGTAAATACATTCAAGTGAACACTTTCTATGTCAAGGGAGTTTAATATTGAGATGTAAGGTGCAGGCCTACTTGTCTGTTTTTAATTTATTTTCACATTCTGCTATAGTGGGATCAAAAAATATACTGTAGTGCATTCAGCGTGATTGGTGCTCCTAGTCAGTGAGATTCATTAGAGCTGCAGAAAACGAAAACAAACGATTGAGATCAAAATTTATTATTGTTCACTAATTTATTCTCTTTGTTTACTTTCGTCGAAATAGCAAAATAATTTTCATTTGTATCATGCACAATAATCTAGATTTCTTTGGATCAAAATTAGAATAGCATGGTTTACTTTATTCACCAGCGTGCTGAAGCTTACTGTTTCTGAGGACAACTTATAGTGAGTAAGAAAATCAGCAAATGATGCTCTTGATGCCTCCTCTTTCTATTTTTTTTGGTAATTCATTCAAAACTTTAGAAAAAAGCAGTCTTGTCATTCAAAAGAAATCATGAAAAATATGCTCGTACAGCTCTCATTTCGATATGAATTCAGAAATTGCAAGCAATTCTTTGCTTTGTTGAACTCAGTCAGTGTCCATCTTCCAGAATTTTTCCAAAATTCAAAATTTTCGAAAATGATAATTTTAGTAATTGTAGTAAGCATCATTGTAATATGAATACAAACTTGTTTTTTAGCCAAAACTACAGTTTTTCCATCACTTCAAATTTCTAGCTCGTTGCACCGTAGACATCGTGTTTCACTGAAAAGGTCAGAATAGTATGTAGTAGCGGTGTTCACACTGTTTTTTTCCTGGGTGGTAAACTTTAATTGTTACTAGTTGACTTACCCGGCTCCGCCCGGCCCTGTCATTATTATATTCGTAATCAGCATGCTCGATTACCCCCTGTGCCAACTCCCAGCCCCGTAGCTCAAATTTTGCAAAAAATCGATAAAATCGGTATCGATCGATGACGAAAAGTAGCCTATGACACCCGCCGGGGCCCGATGTGTATGTGTGCCAAGTTTGGTCCGGATCGGTTCAGAAATGGAATTTTCTATTCGGAACATACGTACAGACATACAGACAGACACAGACAGACAGACAGACAAACAGACATTCCGCTTTATATGTAAGATGTTCCGTCGAAGTCTTCAACTTTTCTCGCTGTGTTTCCAATTTTTGCTCAAACTTCTGACCCCTCTTCTCATTTTCCGGCTCTCTCTCCCTCTCTCTACACAGACCAAATTCGATTCTTGCATTTCCCGTATTCGATCGCCAAATTTGCATGATTTCGACACTTCTGCTTCGTTATTTGTCGTCTGCTCGCATCGACTAGCCTGCTTCGCTACAAAAAATGCCTCGAAAAGGAGAACTTGCAGAGCCGGTGGTCATGGATAAGTCGGACATGCAACGTAGCGTCGATTCGCTTCGCAGTCAACTCAACATCGAACGAACACCGATCAGTCAAAGTGCTACTGAGTAAGTTGACCATATATAATTTGAGTAAATTATCAGGTTTTCATCCTAAACTTTTATATCAGTTATCAAAAAGTCGAGGCTGCATTTCAAAGCATCAGCAAAAAAAATTCATATATGTACTCAGTGCGATTGAATATGCCAATTTTTGTTCACAAAAAATGTGTAATTTTAATATGTGCTATTTTCGGATTTGATTTCGGGAAACCTGTGCTCATTGAATCTTTCAAAAAGTGCATATGAATTTGACCAATGGTTAGAGATTTTTTTTGGAATGTAAGTTCAAATCCCAGAGTGAAGGGCATAGGGAAATTCATTCTAAATATAATGTCTCTTCAGTGTCAAACAGCAAATGGATTGTATATAGAGTTAAAACCTCTCCCTTTATGCGCTCAGTCCTATGGTGATTGAGCTGGTAAAAACTATTGATAAACTATTGCGTGAATTATGGGAGTTGGGTGTATTAGCATCTGGAATCCCTTTGGAATCTCTTTTCCCTCCCTTTTTTTAGAAAAAACTGAAAAATGCGCAGTGGATAATTAGAGAATTTTTGTACACATACTTTGTATATCTCGCCAATGTTGCAGATGGCCTCTGTTAGGGATCACTCTTTCTACTTGATCTGAAATACATTTTTTGTTTATATTCTAAAGTTTTGACATTTTTCTAGCTGCAGTCATGATCATCCTGAGGTGTTATATCTGACCAACCATCTGAATCGATGCATCAGTATCAAAATTCATACTTCGAGTTGGTATTAAGAAAAACCAAGAGAGGGGATTAAAGGCAGTGTCTCACCAAAGTTGAGGTCGCGCGGATTTTCACATATTCTAATATAGGGACCTCTAAATAGGCCATTGCAACAAGTCCCACTCAATTTGACCCCCTCCATGCTGGGAAAAATTCGCTCAAAGTGGTACGCGGAGAGCGACTGGGTACGCGCGGACGACTCCTTCGGTCTCCCTCCTTACGCGTTTGAACATGTCCCTCCACTTGGCATCCACCTCCCCTGTGTTGCTGCCACTGTGGCTGAGGCTGAAGTTGGAAGGTACAACTCGTCCATGTTGCTTCCACGGGACCTCCAGAAAACGGGGTTTTTGGAAACTTCATGCGATTTTAAGCCCATAGAGTGCTAGACAGGGTCCGACAGGCTTGCAAAATGCGAAAAACTCGGCAACTAAATTCTGGTGAGACACTGCCTTTAATGATATTTTGCGCAACTCAAAACCAAATCTCCCTCATACTAACTCTTTATTGGCAGGTGTAATCTCCAAATCTCCAAACAATACCGTAACGAGCTGAGTGATTAAGCCAGATGTTTTTTTTTATTTTTCACAATCGACAGCATTTGAGCACAATGAATCTACGTCAGCACATCTACGTAAGTGACAGGAAACAATATACGCATGGGCGACTTGGGATTTCCATGCATCATTTACTAATGGAGATTTTTTGCTTACATGGTTAAAAAATGCTACTTGGGGATGTTCACACATAGCAGATTTACAGTTTCCAAACGTTAGGAAGGAAATGGTAAACATTTATTTCCCCAGTTCCCATAAGTCTTATGGGAAAGACAAGTTCTGGGCTGAGGCTTGGAGCGGTATAAAAACAAGTTGCTTGATTAGTAGCGTTGCTAGGGAAGTGCCAAAAAACCCTTTGCACATAATTTGTAACAAATTTCGCTTTTTCAGACTTCGCCGCTACACTGAGACGCAAGAAGATCCGTTGGTCAATCCTATCGATAAGAAAGTGAATCCTTGGGCCGAGAAAAGCAAGTGTTCTGTGTTATAAAACCGTTGCTTTCATATCCTATTTAAACCTACGCGATTTACTGCTCCACCACACAAATTTCTGGTCTGAAGTTGTCCGAAAATTCCCCCACCGACTGCCTCATTAGGTATCATGACACTGACAATCGCTAGTTTAATTATGTGCTTCCCGCATCTTATTCACCGATCGCATCTCATCTAATATCATTAATTAATCAATGTATCATCTATGCTGTTCATTGACCGAAGGCTAGCAGTCACACAATTTTTCTTCAAGCTTTAATATTGTTCTTTGGTCTTCTAATAAATGATTACTTAACGCTGATTTTCGCAACATTATTGTAAAATGCAAATCTGATCTGAATCCTCAACATTTGAACTTATTTGATTCACTTAACCACACGTGACTCGAAAAGACAAAATATCAAAATAAAATGACTTGGCTCAGTGAGTTTTTTCTTCGGGATTACGGTGAAAATTTGCAGTGAACCGAAAACTATCTAATCGTAAGTTAGCAATAGCAGTCCCATGACATATAGAGAGACTTGACAGAAAAGCACTGCCGTTGAGTCACATGCTATGGTCTAATCCCGGTTGATAGTGGATGACCTAATGGATGGAGCAAGAACACGACGCGTCCATTGTTGCGACTTATGCTTGATACGCTGACAGAGTCGCGTCTCGTTAGGCCTCGGACATGCTTCATGCGATTTAAGCCGCCACGCTCTGGCAGTATGCCAGATTTATTTAAAGCCAACCCCAGCAGACTACAAGGCAGTTTGACTAATTTTCGTACGTTGATTTAATGTTCTTCCTGTACGTTTAGACTTACAATTCTTTGGACAGTTCGAGTGATGTTAAATTGCGTCACAACTGCAATCGCGTCAAGTATGCGGCCTCAGATGGTACCTAGCCTCTAACGGCAAGTCTCGAGACAGGACTTTAAGTGAAATGGCGAGATGGTAGCAGCTGACATTTGAGAATGCTCGTTTTCGATGTGCCCTGCTTAAAAACTTTTTTTCCACTGGAAAGTTTTGAATGTGGAGTAGAGAGGAGGTTTGGCAGTCAAAATCATAAATCGAAGTGACTGTTCCTTTTTGAGCTTCCGAAAAGGGCATGCCGAAATGACAGGCAGTAAGATGTGTTATAATAACAACATATATGAGGTGCATACTGATGTGTCTACCGAAAAGTAACCATTTTCACTTTGATTCGGAAATCTCCACGCAATAAAGTGCAAGATGACTCATGCATGTAACAGTGTAAGGGTTGACTCGTGCATGTAACATTCCCCCCCCCCCCACCACCCTTCGGGGACGAGATGCGGACGTCAGCAAATCTGTCGTTTTGTCTCGAAAGCACCCAATGCACCCAATCTTCGCACATCAGACGTTCTCTGAGTCTGTCTCCGAGATGTTGATCACAATGCACCTGCCCAATTAGCAAAACGACTAAATCTTTCTGCCCAACAATGTTTTCACAAAGATTACATCCAATTCGAACGGACTGTAGCAGATCAATTATCAGAGTCAGTCGTTACGACTATACTAAAAGTTCAAGATATTTTTCATCTTGAAAAGTACTGAAAAATCTTCTCCGTGGAAGTGATTACTGTTGAAAAGCTCAGTAACTTTGCAACTAACAATAAGGGCTATGCCAACTATGAGAACAAATGAGTTTCTGGAATATTGATTTTTTTGATGAACCCCAACTTTCGACCTGTGGTTCATCGCAAATTTTATGACTTCGAGACATCACTTCTTCTTACCAGAAACATGCTTAGCACTATCGGTTAGATTAACAGCACATCTTTGGAATGTTTTCGTTGACTTCGAAAAAAGAAAAAAGACTTCAAAGAAAAGAAGTTCAGCTGCTGGGGATCATCAGGAGATCATACAAAAAGCTGAAAAATGTGGCTTGTACAGCTTCTTGCTCCCGTTCAAGATGTTCATAGTGAAGATGGTGGAAGTACTTGCGGAATAGGTAGACAGCGTGAAATTCAGATATCTGGAGCTTCAGGATATGAAGCTTTCTTCTGAAGCTGTGATCCCCTCCCCCGCGGGGATGTTAATGCATGCGGCCCTCAGCGAGATCCCTTTGATCCGTTGAGTTGTATAGTTCGCCTTATGGATGATGGTCAGTCATAGTGTATGTGCCCACTAGATGTTGCTTGCAGTTCGCTAACAAACTCAAGTTAATTGAGACCTCGAGACCTTGATTCGACTTTGAGTAGATTTGTTTGTTTGTGGGGAAGAGGGCGGAGGGGTTAGAATAAATTCAGGGAAGCATGCATGAGCATCCTTGTTGGTAGGGGGACGCAGCACAAAAGAAAGCTTCGTATTTATAAGCTCCAGAAGTGTTGCTTTCACGCTGCCTTTGAAGTTCACTATCCTTCACTGTAGAAAGCCTTTTGCTGTATAAGCCGCATTTTCCTTCTTTTTGAATTATCCGGTGCCCCACGCTGATCGTTTTCCCAAAGTCATATTTTTTTATTCTGTAAGGGGAACTTTGGACATACGGTTAATGAAATTTTGACAAGAGGGAGCGCGAAGGAGGAACTTTGAAGTAAGAAAACTTGAAGATACTTGGCTTCTGAGTAATGAGAAGGTGGATGCAGTGTCAAGAGCAGTCAAGATGTAGTTTAAAGAGCATGAGATAATTGACTATAGAGTTTGAAGAGTGGAAATAGTCTTGGGGAAATATTTATGCCAGGAGAACCTTAACTGCAGTAAGGAAAGGCAGATGCTTGCAGGAATTATTGAATGGAGGGGGTAGATAAAAAGCTATGTGGAAAAAAGCCTTCGGAACAAGTGACCCGATTCAAAGCACAAGCGAAAATGCGAAGTTTGACATCTTGGGCCGGAACATTTTGGCAAATGAAGTAAGAACCTTTGGCCAATCTTTGGCCATATAACATATACAATACCGCTCACAGAATGTGCAAAATTTCCATGAATGTCGCAGAATCCCAGGAATTCCGCGAAATTCCCGAAATTTCGCGAACCTTCGCGGAATTCCTAGAATTCTGCGACATCCATGGAAATTTTGCACATTCTGTGAGCGGTATTGTATACAGTAATTGCCATAGCTGTGTTTCACTACATGTCCTCCAAGGCTTTGCGGACCGAGAAATCATGGTTTAAGGTACAAATCAACTGGAAGCTTTGAAGACGGCGTGTTGTGAAGAGCGCACATATGTTGAAAGGACTCGAAAAAAAAGAGGATGTCTCAAGCGAATGTATCGTTCCGACAAATCAAGCACCGCGACTTTAGTGTTTCATACTGACCTACTCAAACTGATTGAGAATTTAAAAACTTCTAAGAACTTAATTTTTCATTTATTCCGCGCAACATTCATGGTGTCAGACCTGCATCTATTCTAGAGCGACGTTATTGGACAAGAACGCTCCACAAAACTTTCACACACACACCACACGCACGGCCCTGCATAAAATAAGGGCACAGCACGATGACGCTTGAAGATTACAATTATTTGGGAAAACGCTCAAGTGTTTATCAATTTAATACTCTGGGAGAAAATAATCAGAGCGGCTTTTAATTCTCAAGAAACGATTGCAAACAGGGCCCTGCACAGAGGTTTGGGGTCAAACTGGACTTCGTTTCTGAAGTTACCAGCAACGGAGATATCGTTTTTATAAGGTCCTGGAGGAAGCGCAAAAAAGACGACGAACATGTCAGGTTTTACGAGTTAAACGTGTTCTTTCGCAGGCGCGCGAATTTCAAACAACAACAATTTCAGCAAGACTCAATCAAACAAATGGTGTTTACAGCGCATAAACATCACATAGCTACGAAATTGGATTATGTATATACAGGGTGTCCCAAAAAGTGCCTACTGTTTGATTGTAAATAACTCCCTTGTAATGAAATGTTTCGAGAAGTTTTAGGTGTCGTTTTGTAGAGCGAGGTTAAACTTAGATTTGTAGTATGGAGCGAATCGTCTATCGCTCTTCATTACTGTAGGATTACGGTACGAAATTCGACAAGAATTTTAGGGCCATTGAAGGCTATATTCTTCCTCGGAACAAAACCAAACAAGCCAAGAACTCTTCTACTACGGTAATGGGAGCCGCTCATTCCGAATTTGAAATTTCCATTCTACTGTGATGCTTCTTTCCAAAGTTATCCCCGGTAAATAACAATAACTCAGTTCCCAGCATTTGTCAAAAATGTAATTACAACTTCAAAAAAGCTGAAAACACTCATAAAAAGTTGCTAGATGGAATCAGCATGCGCGAAAACCCTAATACACGACTTTTCAGATTTTTTGAAAAAAATTTCATTAGGTGGTAAATTTCACACTGAGTCCATATGCTGGAAGTTCTTATCATACTAGTACAGCAATGAAGAGTGACCAATGATTCGCTCTATGCAGTAAATCTAAGTTTAACCTCGCTTTACAAAACGGTACCTAAAGCTTCTCGAAACACTTCATTACAAGAGAGTTATTTACAACCAAACAGTAGGCGCATTTTTTTGGGACACCCTGTATAATACGAGCTTAACCCGGGTTTCACTCCGGTTTTGAGTCAGTTCATTGTGTGCTTGACCCTCTCACACAGCGAAAGTTATCCTTCTTTCAATTCAAATTCGTCATGCACTTCCCTTCCTTAACATGTCTTGATGACCAGCAGATGAAAATGCGCTTCACCGCTCATTCTTTATGACTATATGGAATGTGCACAAACATACAAATTTTCTGCTTTATATATATAGAAATTACTCCAAACTATGTCATGTAAAAACTTCCAAGAACTCATGCGTCCTAATATCCGCTCTCGAATTTTTTGGTTTCTAGACCAACACCAAACCAACTGGGTTGGTTAGGAGCATAAATATCGGAGAGTTCACATAACTTTTGGACCTTTTTAATTTGGACGATTAGAACGGTTAAAAATCTATCATAGAGTGAAGAGAGCGAATCAAACCATTGTTCTCTTTTTTTGGGCCCAAAGTTGTGTAATTCTACGCGTTTATAGATATCGCGCTCCAACCACATGTGATGTCCTCTGAACTATATGGCGAAAAATGCATTGCCGGATTGTTGAGGCCACAGATTTGGTTGGCCTAGGAGGTTTCCGACATTCCGAGCACTGAAATGGTACTATACTCAATGGCAGAACCTTTAATCGACTTGAAATGTTTTCTCTTTGCTTTTTATTATACTCGATAACTCAAAGCGCTTTTTTCGCTTTTTTATTGTTATTTTGTTTGAATAAGGGTTTCCCTACTGAGGTATTACGTCGGGACTTCGTCTTAGAAAAACCCTAAACCAACGCGTGCAGGGCCCTGATTGCAAAC